AAGAACAAAAACAAAATTATATGTTTACAACGAGATTCCATGGTAAAAACTAAATAGAATATTATTATTAGTTGTCTTGATAAATGATTTAAATAAATTTTAAAATTTAATCAAGAATATAATTTTTGAAATTTGATTTGATTCTCTCTTCTTGGACTCCACATCACTATCATCAGGAGGATTAGTAATTCCCCTACAAAGATCGCTTAGTTTTCGAAATTGATGATTAAGGATAAAGATTCTGAATTTAATCTTAAAGTTAATCATGGCACCCATATGATTTTATCCGATTAAACTCGTGAACCAATCTGTCTTCAACTCAGCGTCAAACGTGGAAGCAGAGGAGCGTCAAAAAAATCAAAAAGGCAAAGTCACGGGAGGTGACTCACCGGCGCGTCGTGACCGATCGGACAACCTGGTCCAGTTCTCAAAGAAAGAGAAAACCCATTAATACAAACAAAAAAATAGACAAAGCCCTTCATTAATTCCTTTCTCTGGACTGTTTCTTGACGCAATCAATCATTGTACTCCACTGTTTTTTACTTAATTTTTCTTCTTTCTCTCTCTCCCTCTCTCTCTCTCTCCCATCTTCACCCAAACTTAGTGTTCTCAATAAGCTATTGGGTCTGGTATGGTTTTGCTGTTTTGAGGTTTCAGTGGCGGAATGGGCGTTTTGGTTGATGAATTCTTGAGTGGAAGAGAAGAGTGATGAGAGATTTGGTTAGTGAATGTAGTGGAGATTTCTGGGTTCGCCACATATGTTTCGAAGACTAAGATGGTTCATTGGTTTAAACCAAAGAAATTGGTCAACGAAGAGGCTGCCTACTCCCAGCCATAATCAGCCACTCTCGGACAGGGTCTTACCGCCGCCTCCGCCGCCGGTTACCCTTGACACCGTGCATGAAGTAGCCGTTTACATTCACCGATTTCATAATCTTGACCTTTTTCATCAAGGGTAATTCACATTTTTCTATTTATTTTTTATGTGCTTGACATGGTAGCTAAAAAAGGTTGTCTTCTTTTTTACGCTTTTTTAAGTGATTCCTATCTTTTTTCTGGTTTGTCTTTGGAAGATGGTACCGGATTAAAATTACTTTGAGATGGGAAGACGGTGGGAATCATGCTTTCATGGCAACTCCTTCCCGAGTTGTTCAATATGAAGGTACTTGAAAATTGAATTGCTTTTTGGCTAGTACAGAAATATCTTTTGTTATGCGTTGCATTGTTGTTTGTTCGACATAAAAAAGTATACTTGGCTATATGAAGTTGAATACCTTTTCACCACTTGAGTTGACTCTTTGATGTCAAAAGTTAAAGGCTGTTTTTTTTTTTTTTTCCTTTTTTGGGTTTAATCATTTTATTATTCAGAACAAGTGTATTTTAATCCTTTAGCTGTTAATTTAGTAAATTTTTGTTTCTTCAAGTATAAGGTGAAATATGGTTCTTAGGTCTAATTTTCTAATCACCTAATTTACCTAGAGTCGCTACGATACATAACTAACATGTAGATAAAGATATATATGTAGACTTTTTGTGTGTGTATGGATGTATTTAGGCATATGACTCAACTCTACTTGCTTTGAATGCATGTTCTATTAATGGCTTGAAACCAGATTTTTTGTACGAAGTTCTTTTGTACAACAAAGCAAAGCTCAACTGAGCTAATATCAAAAGTTCAAACACATCACTGAACTCTACTGGTTTAGAAACATATTCTATTACATCAAATTCAGTTATTTCATACAACAAAAAATGAAAGTTAACCAAGATTAGTATTAGAATAAATTTAAGCCGATATTAAAACATCTCAGCCAATTTGCAACCTCAGTTATCAATTGCTTCAATTAGATTACGGATATTATTGCCTTTCTATTAGTTTACCGTTTTTCTATTTTTGATCGCTTAAATTTTAATCTCATATTTGGGCTGTAGTTCCTGAGATGGGTTCCGAAGACCCATATGGTATTTGGAGAATTGATGATGCGGACAACAGTTTCTCAACACGACCTTTCAGAATTAAATATGCAAGGCAGGATGTTTATCTATCTATTATGGTAGCCTTCAGTCTGCCCGTTTGTAATCATGAGGTAGTTCCCCTTTTCTCTATATGTTATTCCATTATCATATCTAACAGAGCAAAGCAAATAAACCAAGCCAAACCAGAAAACATTTTCTGCATACAATGGCTTGGTTTCCTGGATCCCTTTTTCTCTTGTTTAAGGCCATTTCCTTAAAGGGATCACGAGAGATTATTCTTTTCTTGGCTAGAATCCAGTTGAAATTTGACATAATCTGTTTAAGGTTACTTCCTCTTAGAAACCATCTGGAAGATATTTTTTCTTTTTACCTTTCTTGACAAGGATCTAATAAAGGTGCTCTATTAAGATGAAAATTTGTAATTAATTTTTTTTTTCTGAATTTTTATTAATGATACTTAATTTACAATAACTGAATATATATAAGAGAATATTAGAGAGTTTTAGCAATAAACTAAATACGAATTAGTTCTATAAAAGGAAAAGAATTTTCAGTTATGGAAGTCGACTACCCCCTCAAGCTGATTTTAAGTTGTTGAGCAAACCAAGTTTGAAACTCAATTCTTTAAAAGTCTTCCTAAGTAATACTTTGGTGAAAATATCTGCAATTTGGTGGTAAGACTGAATGTGCCACAAGGATACTGCTCATAACTCTATCTTCTTTAATAAAGTGTTTATCAATCTTTACATACTTAGTTCGATCATGATGAAATATGTTTTTTACTATACTTATTATGAATTGATTGTCACATAACACTTTCATAAGCTCTAAAGAGAGAATCCTCAATTTACCTGATACCCTTTGTAGTCATATTTTTTTCACATATATCATGCACTAAAACTGTAAACTCAGCCTCAACACTACTCTTTGTTACCATGGACTGCTTCTTGCTTCTCTAAGTAGATTTCTCCAAATGTATATATAAAATCCACATGTGGATATAGAATCAGCCCCACCTACGTCAATATATCCAGTCATTCTTGAAAAACAGTCATTGTCCTGCTGTCATTTTTAGATACTTGAGTGTTGACTACCATATTTTATTATTTAATTATTTTATTAGTTTATTATTTAATCAGTTGAGATGATTTAATTAAAATTCAAGTAGAATAGTAATTTATTTATTAATAGGTTAAAGATTTTATAAATATCTAAGTGTAATAACATAAATAGTATCAAAAATAAAGTAAATATTAATTCTCCAAAAATCTACATGGTATCAGAGTCAAACAAAGCTATTTTACGGTTCTAATTTTAGGATTTTCTTCAAACTATAAAATAGCGCAATTGGGTGAGTTGGTACTCAGAGATTCACCATTGGACCTATCACTGACTCTACTTGCTACCAACAGTAGAGATGCATTGCCACCGGCTGCCACATTCCGCTGCGATTTTACTAGGAACCACCACAATCCGGCATGGATTTGGTGAAAATCGCGCTGGAACTGGTCGGATTTGGCTTTCCCGCAACCTGCCCCCTGCTGATCTTCTTCTTCCCCAACACATGTTCTCTCTCTCTGGCTCTCCAGCTGCACTGCGCACAAAAAGGCCTTCCTCTGCATGCGTCCACCTTTGGTTTCGCAATATCCATGCTTATCAGACTTCTCCACGCGCAAACCATTCTGACTGGCCTTTTATGGTCTTTTTTTGACTTCTCTATGTGCGTCCACCTTTGATTTTGTGATCTAGTCTCTTCGTGCGCAAGCTGCTCTGACCAGCCTTTTCTGGTATTTTATGGCTCTTCCGCGTGCATTCACCTCTAGTTTCACAATACTCTTTGACCAGCATTCTCTGGTCCTTTTTCTGACGCCTCAGTGTGCGTGCGCCTCTGGTAAACTACAGGATGACTCTTCAGAATTTGGTTTGTAAGTTGGACATGTGTGATATTATTGCACCAACTTGACAAGCTAGCATAATCATTTTATTAGTTTATTATTTAATAAGTTGAAACGATATAATTAGAATTCTGATAGAATAGTAGTTTCCTTATTAGTAGGTTAAAAATTCTATAAATATCTCAGATGTAACAAATTAAATAGCGAGAAATAGAGTTTATATTTTTTTTCCCAAAATCAACGTTGAGAATCCAAAACATTGCGTTCATATTTCTTCAGTTGGATTATTAATGAATTGACTTATCACTCTAACAGTAAAATTAATATATGGTTTGGTACATGATAGGTAAATCAATTTACTCACTGGACACTGGTATCTTTCTTTGTCAACTAAAGCACTATCAATTTTAATTCTCAATCTAATGTTGAGTTCTATGGGTGTGTTCGTTGGATTGCATACAAGCATTCTAGTTTTTTTCTTTTTAGAAAATCCATTATATATTTTTGTTGAGAATTGAGATTTCTTTCCTTAACCTAGCAATTTCTGTTCCCAAAAAGTATTTGGGATTTTCTATATGTTTAATCTCAAATTCTTTAGTTAAAACCTTTTTTAGTTTGAGTATTTCCTTTATGTCATCCCCTATAATTATTATATCATCAATATATACAATGAGCATTGTCATTTATCCTGAAAGATCATGCTTGAAAGAAAAATATTATATGATCTGTTGACATTAATTACATTCAAACCTCTTAAATTTTTCAAACCATACTCTTTGATATTATTGGAGTCCATAAAGAGACTTTTGAGTCTGCAGACCTTTCTGTTAGTGACTTGATTTTTAAAATTATGTAGTATCTCAATATAGATTTCTTCCTTATATTCATTAATAAAAGTATTGTTCACATCTAGTTGGAATAATGGTAAATCCATATTAGTGGTTAGAGACATTAATATCGGGACTGTGTTAAGCTTCGCTACTTGATCAAATATTTCTTTATAATCAATTCCGTATGATTGAGAAAGTCTCTGACTACTAATTTAGTTTTGAACTCGTTGATGTTACCGTCACCATGATTGCTTGATTATGAACACTTATTTATAGCCGACTAGGTGTTTCCCAAGTGGGAATTCAATTATTTCCCAAGTCTCCTTCTTTTCTAAGGCTTGAATTTCCTTTATGATTATAGTTTTTTGTTCTAGTACTTCTAATGTTTTATGTATCATCCTTGATATCTATATTTCATCAATATTGTTAAGAAATATTTGATGAGTTGATGACAAACTTTTTTATGAAACAAAATTGTGAATTGGATGATTAGTGCATGTTCTTTTATTTTCTTTGAAAAATAAGTTTATCATCATACAAATTATTGAGGGAGAGATCTGAACTTCGATTATCTGAAATATTCAATGACACAGGATCTGGATTCGGATTGGATTCATGGCTTTGATCAAGTGGTTGTTGCCCTTTCTTTTCTTAGTAATTGTTCCTTCTAGTGTGGATCCGAAATTAAGGTTTTTTAGTGTGGTGAGTAGGTTCAGGTCTAGGTGTCTTAACTTAATCTAGAGTGTTATGGAGACTAAATATGTTTAGTTGGAGAATGATAAAGATATCCAATGGTAGAATCCTAAAATTGGAATTCTTGTATATTTTTCTCCTCCTGAATACCAATTTTGTAGTATGGTTGGTTTTCACGGCATCCATTAAGTTATAGAAATTTCAATAACTGGTGATAACATTTATATCCTTTTTAATTTGATGAATAGTCAACAATTATGCATTTCAATAACTGCGTATATAAGCAAAGGTTGAACAACTAAAGAATTGGATAGATAGGATACATAAAAGTCGAGTAGTAGGAAAGTATTAAAACATAACTTGGTAGGGGATTTGAAAATCAAGGACCCAAGAAGACGGTCTATTAATAGGGTAAATTGTAATTAGAACAACTTCTCCCCATAAAAATTTTTGGAACTTGAATTGTGAACATGAGAGATTGGACAACTTCAAAATGATGTCTATTCTTCTTTTCGTCTATCACATTTTGTTGAGATGTATCAACACATTAATTTTGATGAATAATCCACTCTTTTTTTCAAGATACATACCCAACTCTTTTTCAAAGTACTCTTTTGTGTTGTTTGTCTTTCACAGTTGTATTTTTATCTGAGTTTGGACTATGTTGATGAATTTTTTAGATATATGACTAGCTTCTTATTTTTTTTATGAGAAATATTCATGTAACTATTGTATGATTATCTACAAATGATATAAAGCATCTAGTACCTATAATATTATTAATCTTAAATGGTTCCCATACATCACGATGTATCATAGCAAACAGTTTTTAGGTTTGTATGGCAACATGAGATATATAAACGAATATGTTTTGGTAATTGAAATACTTTACAATGAAAATTTTTCGCATTTTCATCTTTGAATAAAGAAGGAAGTAATGTTTGAAAATATATTAAGTGTTGATTTTAGGAGAAAAAATAAATAATTTTATTTCTCACCTTTTAGGTTATTACACCTGGGTATTTATAGAATGCCTATTCTACTAATAGGGAAATTTCTGTTCTATTAGAATTGTAATTATATTAAATTATCTAATTAAATAATAAAATAGAAAAATATCTTATTCAATACCCCCCTCAAGTTGGTGAAGAGATATCTTTCATGTCTAACTTGCAGATCAAGTTGCAAACTAGAATCAAATATGTTAGGCAGCAGCACGACTTAGCTCGACCCAAAAACGGCTCAAAATGGCTCAGGTTCGGCTCGGCTCAAGTCCCATCTCGGCTCAGGCAAATTTGTGTGAAGTAGAGATCGCGGCTAGAAAAGCTTCCTATCGAGCGGCTTTGCGTGCGGCGAAGAAGAAGCTGGTTGCTTGGCACTTTGCTGGGCTCTACGTGTTGAGGAAGAAGAACCAGATCTCGCAGGTCTTCGTGCAATTCTGCGCATGGCGAAAGAAGAAGCTGGGTTGATTGGTTTTTTCACGCGTCTCTACGCGCAGCTGAAGGAGAATAGACCCGGGATTAACACGTCCTTGCGCACGATTGAAGAAAAACTTACTTGAGGCGAATGCAGCTCTGCGCGCGATTGAAGAAGATGAATTTTGAGGCTCTCTCTTTGCGCGGCTCTATATGCGGTGGAGGCCAGCTGCTCTCTTCCTTCCTCTGCTCTGGCCTCTCTTCTTTTAATAATCTC